CGAAGGCAGCTCTGACAGCTTCTGGCAGATACTTTCTCCGACCTGGTTGATTAAAGCCAAACCCAGACTCTTCATTCTTTTTAAAAACTGTCTTTCATTTTATGGGCCTATTATGATTTATTGAGCAATTCCCTATTAATGGGCTTTTGGTCATCATAAATAACGGTGCAGTGAATAACTGTACAGAAGCCACCTCACCTGTGCAGGCACGGATATGGGGGAGGTTAGGCCTGCTGGACCAAGAGATGTCACCTTCAGGAAGGTGACATCTAAGCGAGAAGAGGACGCCACAAAGGAACCACTGGTTGCGGGGTGGGGGGATCTGGGGCCCACAGCACACTGGCCAGGTCAACGGGGGTACGTCCGACAGAACGAGACCCGCACATGACTCAACCACAGACAAACACCTTGTGTCCAGCTCACCTCACACAGACAAACGGGGAGAATTCCGGAGGCTGCCCAGGCTGGCCAATCAGATAGGGCTGCCCCTGAGTTACCGTGCTGGGAAATGACTTAATAGCATCTCGCTTGTTACTGATTAATTTTGTTTGATGTGGGAGGCTGCACGGATTTTTAACAAGCACCACTTGTGACTGCAGACCAACCAAAGCTTCCAGAATCATGAAGTGCATTTCAGGGTATTTTAAAAAACACAGGGCGCAGCCGGCCTGCCCAGCACTCCTGGGCTGGTGACAAGACGGCTGTGGAAGGGAAACCTGGGGCTCCTGTGAACTAACAACATGGGATTAGAGATCCATTAGGGCCTCTGTCTGCTCCATCAGTCTCCAGCCCAGATACCTCTTTGCCTCCCACCAAGAGGTGGAGGTTTTAGCCTGTATATTCTAGAGGATTGAAAAGGGGAAGATAAAATAGAGAAAATTCCAGAGGCTCTAAAGCCAGGGGAGACCCTTGTGCTCCTGCCGTCTGCGCCATTCTGCTCCATCCTTTACAAAGAGGCTGTGATGACAGCCAGGCAGCTAGACTGGGTGCTGGGTCCAGGGGCTGTGACGGCAGTTCCTACCTGTCCCGGTCTCACACAGGAACAAGCACGAGCCTCTGTCTGAACTGCGCCTGGAGCAAGCCTGGTTTGTGGGCAGTGGCCACTTCCAGGGGCCTTTGGAGGCTTGGCCGTACGGGCCTGCTAGCTTGTAGGCAGAGCAGAGGGCTGGCCAGGCTGGTGGTAGAAAGCACACTGGACAGATAGTCTCCCAATGCCTGGAGCACCCAGGAGAGCAAGTACAAAGACGGAAACCAGCTGCAGCTGCAGCCAAGGGCGAGTACGTCAGTTAGGATGCACTGGGCCTCAAGTAACAGAAAAGCCAGCTGGGACTGCCTTAACTAAGAGGGTCGACTGGCTCAGGGTACTAGAGGTCCCTGAGCAGGTCAGCTTTCAGGGCTGGTTTGATCCAGTGGCTCAGCAATGCTGTCAGGGCCCCAGTTTCTTTCCATCTCTGTCTTCTGCATAGTCAGCCTCATTCCAAATCCAGTTCTGCCTCATGAGCACAAAATAGCTGCTCCAGTTCCAGACTTCACATCCAAACACCACCCTGCCCAGAAGGAGAGAAAATGTGTCTGTGGCAGCAGTCCACACAGGGAATCACCCTGACTGGACCCCTTAGGCTACATGTCCATCCTTCAACAGGCGCACGTGGCAGGAATGTGTGATGGATACAAACGAACCATGGTCCCCTTGGAAGAGGGGGTGTGGGCAGCTTGGTCCCAAGCAAGTGGGCTCTGGGCACTGGGGATGGGGAGGGAGGACGGATGCTGGGTGGGCAACGTCGAATGCTCAGGGCAGCACAGGTGGAGCTGGATCTACGCCATCGCAGGGCCAGGCGAGGGGAGCCTGCATGCTAGGGCAAAAGGCATTTGGGTTTCTTGAAATTTTTTTTAAGATTTATTTATTATTTATTTATTTTATTTATTTTTGGCTGTGTTGGGTCTTAGTTGCGGCACGCAGGATTCGCTGAGGCCTGCTCGACCTTTCATTGCGGCGCACGGGTTTCTCTCTAGTTGTGGCATGTGGGTTTTCTCTTCTCTAGTTGTGGCGCGCTGGCTCCAGGGCACGTGGGCTCTGTACTTTGCGGCACTCAGTCTCTCTAGTTGAGGCGCGCGAGCTCAGTAGTTGCAGTGCGTAGGCTTATTTGCCCCGTGCCATGTGGGATCTTAGTTCCCCGACCTCAAACCCGCCTAGTTGAGGCGCGCGAGCTCAGTAGTTGCAGTGCGTAGGCTTATTTGCCCCGTGCCATGTGGGATCTTAGTTCCCCGACCAGGGATCAAACCCGCGTCCCCTGCATTGGAAGGCGGATTCTTTACCAGTGGATCACCAGTGAAGTCCCGGCATTTAGGTTTTATTTCCAAGAAACCTGAGAGCTAGAAGTGCCTTGGTGGAGGGAGGGAGGCCCATGCAGGCCAGTGTCCCCGAGCTCACCTGGCGAGGAGGGGCTCCTGCCAGAGCTGAGCCACGAGGCCCCAGAGGCCGGGCTTGGTGTGTGTGGAGAGAGGTGGGGGGCACAGGAAGAGGGCTGGGTGGGTGGGGGGGCTGGCATTCCTACTACCAACCAGACACGCAGCCAGCTCTGGTGCATCCTCTCTACACGTTTTGTCCTCACAGTCGCTTGGCAGGGTGGACGAATCTGCCATTCCCATTTAGCAGACGTGGAGACCCAGCCGTGGAATGGGTGGTTTTCGAGATCGCACAGCTACTAAATTGCACTCAGGGTTCGAACCCAGATCTGCCAGACTCTTCCCAACCTGCCACTCAGTACAGGCAGGCAGCTTCTCCCAGGGAGGAGGGTTGAAGACCAGACTGAGGTTACACATGGAGGACGGAGGGCTGGGAGAGAGGCCCTGGACCAGGGAGCGGACCAGCTTGGCTTCCAGGGCCTTCGCTTTTGAGGCAGTGGGAGCAAACCAGTGGCCTGGCCCACACGGGAGCCTTCCTGAAAGACGGAAATGGGTCCCGTCTGGGTTATCTCTGCCTTCTGTGTGAGCTATTTTACGGAAAACTGACAATTATGCAAGTGATTTCTGTCCATAGAAATCAAGTTTATTTTGTCTGGCCGAATGTAATTGCTGACAGCCCTGTGGGTGGACCTGCTTTGCTTCATTTGTGAATTCCCTCAGTTCTCCTTATTTCCTATAAATGTGGTGTTTTGAATTCTCCTGAGAGCTGGTTCTAACATGTTACTGCTTTCCTCATTAATTAATGAGCTGAATAAAATCTTTGATGCATTTTTACATTTGTATGATAGTCATGATTTCACCACTTAAAAATGATCCTTTGAGGGGCTTCCCTGGTGGCGCAGTGGTTGAGAGTTCGCCTGCCGATGCAGGGGACGTGGGTTCGTGCCCCGGTCTGGGAAGATCCCACATGCCGCAGAGCGGCTGGGCCCGTGAGCCATGGCCGCTAAGCCTGCGCATCCGGAGCCTGTGCTCCACAACGGGAGAGGCCACAACAGTGAGAGGCCCACGTACAGCCAAAAAAAAAAAAACAAAAAACAAAAAACCAGAGGACACTAAAAGTGTGCCCCTGACCAGGATCTGGGGGGCACACGCCCAAACAGCCCCACCCATTTTCAAAATTTCTCCAACATTCCTGTTTTGTTAAATAGGATTTCATGGAAAATGCTGCATTCTATTCCAGAGGGCATCTGTGTTTGTTTTAGTACAAAAAACTAGGGGGACAGGTTAGAGTCAGTCTGATTTCCAAACTCCATGGCTCCCTCAAAGGGGCACCTGGGTACCACCTTCCAAGGTCTCCCTCAAGGCAGCAGTGCAGGGGCCCCTCCTCGCGCCGGCTAAGAGCCCTGGCCTGAGGTCTGAGCAAGACCCCTCCCCAGACAGGATGGGAGGAACTGGGCCTCAAGTTCACTCAGAGACCCTGAAAAGGTATTTGGGGACAGCTGGGAGCAGGGGGACAGGAGGGCAAACAGGAGCTGGACACCTGGATCTGAATCCGTGCCTGCTTCTCAGGGTCAGTCTCCTGTGCATCTCATGGGCAGCTGTCCTATAGGACCCCCATCAGATCACAGTGAGGGGGGCTGGGAGGGACGGGGGAGGAGCTTGGCTCAGGGGGAGAGCCCACGTGGGCCTGGAGCACAGCCCACCCTCCCCTCGGTTTCTCTGCTTGTGCCCCAGGTGTCCCGGTGAGACGTTTCTCTAAGTGTTGGTGTAAACGGGGTCTTCTCCATAAAGATGTCAGGAGAACAGGAGTATCAGGTGCTTAGAGAGGCCTGGCCGTTGATAAGCTCGCTTGACTGGTAGAGCCCACCTGCCCCCACCCTGCCTCCCGCACCCAGGCTCCATCATCCACCGCACCAATTTCTTTTCAGGAGGTGGTCCTGGAAGACCGTGGACCCCAAATCTGGGCACCTTTCAGTTGGGGGGCGGGGCCTGGGCCACGGGGCGGGGCTTGGATCTGGGGAGGCCGGGGCCCAGATCGCTACCCTCCCACCCGACACCCTCATCCCAGGCTGCCGCCTTTGTGGACCGGCCCATCCCTGGCTCTCTGATGCCACCTGGTGGCAAGGCGCGGGCGTGCACCCTCTGGGCCTCGCCTGTGAGAGATGCGGATGTCGAGCTTTCAGGCACCCTGAGGCCGATTCGCAGGATCGCAGGTGGGGAGAGGGTGGGGGTGAAGGGGAAGCTGCCCGCTCCACAAAGGCCAGCCTGGCTCAGCTTCCGTGCCCGGAGGGGTCCTTGCCAAGGGCATTGCTACCTGCGGTGTGGAGCCACCTGCGCTGCACCTGGAGAGCTGAGGAGGGCTGTGCACCACCACCCGCTCCCCTCGTTTTACAAAACGAGCTCGGGAGGCCACCGTAGCGCCTCCCACGGGCTGCTGCTACGGGCCCGTCGCCGTCCTGGCGTCCGGGGACAGCCGCGGGGGAAGGTCTGGTCTGTGGGCGGCGCCTGTATTCTAGTGGGGGATACGGGTGAACGCCAAAATATGTTAATACCGTGAATACAACACAACATCATAAAGGATGCTGGGAGTGCCGTTAAAAACCAAGCGAAGGGAGAAGACAGCGCTGCGTGGTTGCTGGCTTGGTCGCGGGCAGGAAGGCCACTGGACTGGCCGCGGCTCCGAGTGGAGACGAGGACCGAGTGGAGACGAGGAGTGAGGACGAGGACAGGGGATCATTCCAGGCCTGGGGACAGCTCTCCAAGGGCGCCGCGTGGCTGGAGCCCAGTGGGCGGGGCAGGGGCGGGGGATGAGCGGAGCGGCCCTTGCCTGGTGGGGGTGAGGGCTGGAGCCGAGATTTGCTCTGGGGGCAAGAGAGCCTGGCTGGGGCAAGGGGGGCGGCAGGGAAAGGGGTGGGCCTGGCGTGTTTCTAGCGGGCCCACTCTGGCGGCAGGTTGGAGGATGGCTGGAGGGGGCCGGCAGCAGGTAGGACACTTGCTGCCTCAAGTAAGCGAGGTGGGGCGAGGTGAGGGGTGTGGGGAGGAGGCTGTACAGAGGAGCCGCGTTCTGCTCAAAGGCTGAAGGTGCTGCTGTGGGCGGAGGCAGGTAGGGTCAAGGCCACCTCCCAGGTGTCAGGCTCGATCACCCACAGGTGTGATGGGCACAGGGCCAGGTGACGTACTGTGCATGGCCCCAGTTTGCGAGCCTCGTGTCACATCTCGTGCATTATCTCATCCACTTGGTGCAATAACTGGGCGTTCTGTGCCTTATCGCTCTTGGTTGGCACGACAGCCCTGTGAGTCAGGACTGTGGCCCCAATCTCGGCACAAGGAAACTAACGCTCAGACAGTGACACACGTGCGGTTTCTGTGACCAGGGGTGCTGAGCAGGGCTCTCACCCATCTTAGGTTGTGTGTGTGCAATTCTAAAATTAAGATATAATCCACATAACACAAAATTCACTGTTGTTTTTTTTTTCTTTCTGTACTCGGGCCTCTCACTGTTGTGGCCTCTCCTGTTGCGGAGCACAGGCTCCGGACGTGCAGGCTCAGCGGCCATGGCTCACGGGCCCAGCCGCTCCGCGGCACATGGGATCCTCCCAGACTGGGGCACGAACCCCCATCCCCTGCATCGGCAGGCGGGCTCTCAACCACTGTGCCACCAGGGAAGCCCCAAAATCCACTGTTTAAAAGTGTACAGTTCAGTGGTTTTTAGCGCATTCACAATGTTGGACAACCATCACCACTATCTAATTCCAGAACATTTTCATCACCTCGAAAAGAAACGCTGCATCCCCAGCCATGGCCCCCACATCCCCCCTCCCTCCTTCCATGGCAACCACCGATTCGCTCTCTGCATCCATGGACCTGCCTGTTCTGGAATCACACAACACACAGCCTGTTGTGATGGCTCCTTTCACTTGGCGTGTGTTCCAGGCTCACTCACGTTGTAGCATCACTTTTCATGGCTGAATAATATTCCATTGTATGGATAGAGCACATTTTGTTCATCCAGTTCATCCACTGGTGGACATGTGGGTGATTTCCACTTTTTGGCTCGTGTGAGTCAAGCTGCCATGAACACTTGTGTACAGGTGTCTGTTTGAGTCCCTGTTTTCCATACTTTGGGTATATTCCTAGGAGCTGAGCATCTTTTCATGAGCTTCTTGGCCATTTGTCCATCGTCTTGGGAGAAATATCTGTCCAGATCCTTGGCCTGTTTTTGAATTGAATTATTTGTCTTTTTATCATTGAATCCTAGATCAGGTTTTAAATCCCACTGCCTCTACCTCTTGGTTGAAATTACCTGGGCTTGCATAAAATTACAGGTTGCTCGGCACACGGTGTTCTCCAGCAGAGAGGAGTGGTCTGGGCCGCAGTGTGGCAGCTGGTGGCACCTTAGGGCCAGGTGAGGGGGACAAGGGGGAGCCAGTGGCTGACAGCCCCCACTCCTTCCCTTTTGACTCCTGCACCCTTAGCACAGGCCCTGGCCCCCAGCCCTGCCCCACCATCGTCCCCTCCCCCAGGACCTGTGACGTGAGCTGCTGGCTGGGTTCCCCTGACCTTTGTAACTGGGGCCTCTGAGGCCTCGGCCTTGCCCCCGCAGAGCTTCCCTGCTCACAGCTACTCCTCTCCCTCCTCAGATGTCCTGGAATCAGGGAGGGCGTCAGCCCCCTGGCACGTGACACACACGGGAGAGGCTGGGGACAAGGGCCCTGCAGCTGCACAGCCGGCGGTGTCCCTGCTCAGCCTCTCACCCACCCCATGACCTTGAGCCCTCACCTGGGGCAGGGAACAGGGGGCTGACGCCCAGGCTGGTGTGAGGCGCGCCTGAGACCAGGCAAGTAACAGGACTGGGACACAGTAAGAACTCAGTATGGACGGTCCTGCCATCACAAAGTTCTCAAATCCTCTTTGGAGGACGCCAGGCCACACAAACAAACAGGCGAACGCGAGGTCTAAGGCTGCGTGTCTGACTCTGCCATGATCTCGCGGAGCCCGGCAGACATTGCCGATGGCTCCCTGGGGTGCACAGAGCAGGACCCGATTTGTGCAGCAGACGTGGGGTAGAATTATAGGCCTGTGTCTGCAGAGAAAGCAGTGTGCGGCGCGGCGCGTGAAGTGTTCCGGGCGGCTGCCTCTGGGGTTTGGGATTGTGACGAAGTGTGTGAGGTGATAAATTGTCCAGAGACACCCACCCCCTTCTTCCCTGGGAGGGTCCTTCCTGGCCCTGGATTTGGGGTCTGGCCACGTGACTTGCCTTGGACACAGGATGTCTGCGGACCTGGTGCCTGCAGAGGACTTGCAGCTGGGCTGCCCTCTCGCACCTCTGCTGCCATCACATCACGGAACGAGCTTCCTCCAGGCGGTCTGAACCCCAGAAAAAATGCAGATGGCAGCCTGAGCCCAGCCTGCCTGGGGGTGGGGCGACACGAGCGCAGTTCAGCTGTGGAGCGTAGCCGATGGCATGTCCAGCTCCGCTCCGCGCTGACTGCTCGAGCTACTGAGTGTCGGGGTGGCTGTTTCTCAGCTTTATTAGGGCAGGAGCTGATGGATACAAAGGGAGAGTAAGCAGGGGGCTCACTTTTTACTTTACATCAAAGTATTTTAAGCAAATATGTTATAGTTTACAATGAAAAGAGGTGTCATATAGAGACCCCCAGGGTGTTGGGGGGGTTGGGTTACATCCAGCAGGCCCCCATGCCCCTAGCTCACTAGTCTGTGAGCTGCTCAGGGCACTTCCCGTCCTTCCTGGCAGCAGCCCCAGCTGAGACCGGCCACCGCGGCTTCGTCACTGGGTAGGGCGCCTGAGATGCTGCTTTAGAAGTGATGGGTCTGGACGGGGAATTAAGCGTTTCCCAACTGGTGGATCTGTTTTGGCAAATAGTCCTTGGCTTTAATTAGTTATATGTGGGAAGTTACTGGGGTTTCTCTGGGTTTCTCCTCCATGCTGAGAGCTGAAGGATGTGCCTCCAGGTGAGAAGTCACACCTGGAATTCAAGGTCGGCTGGGGGCGTTGGCACTTCTCTGCTACCTCTAAGTAGACTGATCAGGAAAAAAGGAACAATGTCAGGAATGAGAGAGGCGACATCCTTGCAGAGTCTATGATTATTAAGAGGATACAAAAGGGAATATTAGGAACCATTTTTATAAATCAGACAACATATATGAAGTGGACAAATCCCTTAAAAATCGGAAACCACCACAGCTTATTAAAGAATAGATAGCCTGAATAGCCCTATATCTGTTAAATAAATCAAGTTAGTAGCTTAAACCCTTCCCTCACAGAAAACTCATGTGGCTTCACTGGTGAATTCTACTAAAATTTAAATTCTACACCAATTCTCCATGAAATTGAGGAGGTGGGAATATTTTCAAACTCATCCTACAAGACCAGATCAGCATTACCTTGAAACCAAAGCCAGACCATGTCCTTAGAGGAAAACTGCACCCCAATTTCTCTTATAAACAGAGATAAAAAGTCTAAACAAAAAAAACAAATTGAATCCAACATATATAAAAAGAAAAATATATAATGACCAGTGGAGTTTATCCCAGGAATGCAGGGATGATTTAACATTGGCAGTCAATGCAATCAACCGTATTAACAACATAAATTTGACGGAATCCAATATCCATTCCCGGTAAGAACTCTCAGCAGAGACTAGGGAAAAACAAATTTCCTCAACCTGATAAACAACATCTATTCGCAAAATAAATGTAAATAAATTTACAGCTGGGTTCGCACATCACAGTGGAAGGTGGAATTCTTTCCCCTCAAGGATACCCACTCTTGCCACTTCCGTTCAGCGTTGCACCGGAGGTTCTACCCAGTGCAGAAGAGCAAGGAAATAAGGCCCATCCGGATTGGAAGCCACGAGACAAAACTCGTAATTTATTCACCGAAGACATGGCCATCCACGCAGAAAATCTGATGGAAACTACAAAAAGCTAGTAAGTGAGTTTAGCAAGGTTTTGGAATTCAAGGTCAATATACAGGAATTAATTGTATTTCTTTAGACTACCAACAAGCAATCAGACCTTTAAAATTTAAAAATACAATTCATAGTAGTATCAAAAATATGAACTACTTAAGATGTCAGTTTTCCCGCAATTGATCTATGGCTTCAACACTATACTAATCCATCCCAGCAGGTTTCTCGTAGCAATTCACAAACTGATTGTAAAATTTATTTGGCATTTCAAAGGCTCTAGAATAGCCCAACCAACTTTGAAAAAGCAAAGCAAAGTTGTGAGACTAACACTCCACACCTTCCATATGTATTTTAAAGCTATAGCCATAGATACAGCGTGGTATTTGTACCGAATAGACGAGCAGATCAATGGAACAGAACAAGAGTTTAGAAATAGACCCATACACGGACAACTGATTTCCAACAGAGACATCAAAATAATCCCACAGGGAGAGGGAATTAATGGTGCTGAAATGACCCTATGGGGAAAATAAACTTTAACACATTCCTGATGCCATACCCAAAGCTTAATTCAAGATGGAGCGTATAACTATGTGTAAAGTATAATACTGTGAGCTTCCAGACCAAAGTGTAATATAAGACGTTTATAACCTGGGGTTACAGGAAGTGCAGTGGGGAAGGTTCCTGGATGAGGCAGCCTGGGCACAAACACGGGTTAGCAAGGCTGAGAGCGAAGGCGCCCAAGGGGAGGGCCTGATGTTTGGCTCTTTACAGGGAGCACAGAGCCAGGCAGCCAGGCACACTCAGCTCGGAAAGCTGGCAACTCTCGGCTCTGGGTGGGCGGGCAGGACATGGTCATGGTCTCTTGAGGCAGAGAGAGGGGAAGGGGCCTCTTTTATTTACTGCAGTTGTAGAAATGCTAAAAAATGAAGAATTATTTTTTTTAAATGGAGTAACTGGCCAAACAGGGCTGTGAGGTTTTTTTTTTTTTTTTTTTTTTTTTTTTTTTGCGATATGTGGGCCTCTCACTGTCGCGGCCTCTCGCGTTGCCGGACGCGCAAGCTCAGCGCCCACGGCTCACGGGCCCAGCCGCTCCGCGGCACGTGGGATCCTCCCGGACCCGGGCACGAACCCGTATCCCCTGCATCGGCAGGCAGACTCCCAACCACCGTGCCACCAGGGAAGCCCCGGGCTGTGAGTTTTAAGAGTAGTTTTTTTTTTTTTTTTGCGATATGTGGGCCTCTCACTGTCGCGGCCTCTCGCGTTGCCGGACGCGCAAGCTCAGCGCCCACGGCTCACGGGCCCAGCCGCTCCGCGGCACGTGGGATCCTCCCGGACCCGGGCACGAACCCGTATCCCCTGCATCGGCAGGCAGACTCCCAACCACCGTGCCACCAGGGAAGCCCCGGGCTGTGAGTTTTAAGAGTAGTTTTTTTTTTTTTTTTGCGATATGTGGGCCTCTCACTGTCGCGGCCTCTCGCGTTGCCGGACGCGCAAGCTCAGCGCCCACGGCTCACGGGCCCAGCCGCTCCGCGGCACGTGGGATCCTCCCGGACCCGGGCACGAACCCGTATCCCCTGCATCGGCAGGCAGACTCCCAACCACCGTGCCACCAGGGAAGCCCCGGGCTGTGAGTTTTAAGAGTAGTTTTTTTTTTTTTTTTGCGATATGTGGGCCTCTCACTGTCGCGGCCTCTCGCGTTGCCGGACGCGCAAGCTCAGCGCCCACGGCTCACGGGCCCAGCCGCTCCGCGGCACGTGGGATCCTCCCGGACCCGGGCACGAACCCGTATCCCCTGCATCGGCAGGCAGACTCCCAACCACCGTGCCACCAGGGAAGCCCCGGGCTGTGAGTTTTAAGAGTAGTTTTTTTTTTTTTTTTGCGATATGTGGGCCTCTCACTGTCGCGGCCTCTCGCGTTGCCGGACGCGCAAGCTCAGCGCCCACGGCTCACGGGCCCAGCCGCTCCGCGGCACGTGGGATCCTCCCGGACCCGGGCACGAACCCGTATCCCCTGCATCGGCAGGCAGACTCCCAACCACCGTGCCACCAGGGAAGCCCCGGGCTGTGAGTTTTAAGAGTAGTTTTTTTTTTTTTTTTGCGATATGTGGGCCTCTCACTGTCGCGGCCTCTCGCGTTGCCGGACGCGCAAGCTCAGCGCCCACGGCTCACGGGCCCAGCCGCTCCGCGGCACGTGGGATCCTCCCGGACCCGGGCACGAACCCGTATCCCCTGCATCGGCAGGCAGACTCCCAACCACCGTGCCACCAGGGAAGCCCCGGGCTGTGAGTTTTAAGAGTAGTTTTTTTTTTTTTTTTGCGATATGTGGGCCTCTCACTGTCGCGGCCTCTCGCGTTGCCGGACGCGCAAGCTCAGCGCCCACGGCTCACGGGCCCAGCCGCTCCGCGGCACGTGGGATCCTCCCGGACCCGGGCACGAACCCGTATCCCCTGCATCGGCAGGCGGACTCCCAACCACTGCGCCACCAGGGAGGCCCCAAGAGTAGTTTTAATGCTTACATTTAACAATGTTAAATACCGACTGCAAAGCATCATCTCATTTGGAGATAATATAGAAAGTGTACCTGTAGCCCTTCGCAGATGTGAGGCCTGGAGCCCCGACATCCCGCCACGGCTCAGGCCCTGCACTCGATCCTGCCTGTCAGAGGCTGCCTGGAGGCCCTGGGGAAGGTCTTGGCCCCATTTGGAGTGTCCTGTGTGAGGCTGGCAGCCACAGGCAGACAGAAGGCACTGGGGCCTCGACCGAGCAGGGCAGGAAACAGGCTGCATGAGGAGGTCTTGGGGAGGAAGGCGTCTGCTGAGCTTTCTGTCAGGCTCCTCAGGGACGATCCCAGGATGCATGTGCTCTCGGGCCATTTGGAAAGTTCTCGTGGCCTGACCCCGTGTTTGTGACGCATCCTGGATGTCCTCAGCACCAGCAGACTCGCGCCTGAGCGCTGGGCACACGCTCCCACCTGGGAGGCAGCAGAGACTTGCGTCTGGAGTGAGGGGCCATCAGTCTGGGGATGTTACGGACGTGATTTTTCTGAGGTTCCGTGAGCAAGTGCCCAGTGCTTGGTCCTGCTCCAAGTTATGCCTCCATCAGTGTTAAAAGGCATTTGACATTTCCTTTTGATTTATGCACCAACCTTTACAACCATCAGCTCTGATCATGTTCATCAGCTGTGGTTGCCCCTACTCTGAGAGCATGTCTCACCTCGTCCTGCTGAGCGGCTCCAGCAAATGGGGCTCACCACGGAGACCCCAGTGGGACCCGCACCAGCCACTCCACAGAGGAGCTGTTCCTGCAAGACCTGGGGAGCTCCCAGGCACCTTTGCTTTGCATACACGTTTCTTGGCACAAAAAGGACCGGAAAAGATGTTGATGTGACACACACTCACGAGTGTACACTAGTATGTGCACACACTCTTGTGTGCACACCCATCTGAGCACACTTGCAGGTGTATGCTCTGCTCAACCATGTGCACACACAATGTACACTCATTCACACCCACACGTGCACACTCACCAGGGCTCACAGAAGCACACCTGGGAGACACACACACATGGCCCGTGCACACCCAGCGTTCAGACACACACAGAGCACCCCAAGTGGGAGACCCTCTCTGCTCCCAGTGACCAGGGCCCAGGGCAGACAGGACTTCCCATCACACCCGGTGGACACAGCGATCCCACTGACGGTGCCCTTGGCCTGGACCAGTATCTGAGGGAGGCGACGTGCTGAGCCCCTGACCCGCCCCCGCAAAATGCACCAGGCCTTCCTCCTGTGTCCCTCCTCTGGCTGAAATGCCAGGCTCCCTGCGTGTGGATGGAGTCCAGGCTCCAGTGCCCCAGAACCAGTGGCGTGGCCTCCTCAGGCTTCTTGTGGGGAGCCGACCCTCCTGTCTCCGTCACCTGAGTGAGGCTCTGTCATCCAGGATGCCCGTAAGTGGGTGGGGCAGGGGCAGGCGGTGTCACCCTCAGGAGCCTGGCCTCTCAAGCCTCGGGCTTTGCTGCGCCCGCCACGTCTCCCCCACCGAGAGGCCCCAGGACTTGCGGTCTGTGGCTCCCCATCTACATTTGAAGGGATGGAGACGGGTATGAAGCAATTAATGGCAGGAATGGTTATGGATCCCCTCACCATCTGGAGCCCAGTGCTTTTCGTGGGCGTCTGAAGACACAGCTGGTCTGAACTCCCTCTTCTTGCCCCCAGCTCAGGGACAAAGAGTGTGGTCTCTTGGATCGTGGGGCCCTGGGCTTGGCAGGGCAGGGGGCACACATCGGCTGCCCCAGTGGACGGCGGGCTCCTGGGTGAGAAGTGTGGACGGAAAACCACCACGTGATGGGCAACAGGGTGAGGGCTGGGCAGGAACCCGGGAAGGGAGTGCCCGTCCTCCCACCTCCCCACTCGCATCCTGCAAAGAGCCAAGCAAAGTCGGACGGGGAGCTCCAAAGTTCCCACCCCATTTCCGCTTTTTGAAAACGGCACAGCCGCGCAACCTCTCTCAGTTTATTATAAATCTAATACTGTGAGTTTCAGCTGAGTGAACTCACGTCTTGTTTGGACTCTGGGCCTGAAGTCGCCTAAAGCTGGGGAAACGTAATTGCACAGCCGCACGTGAGGACAGTTAATTTGTCCTCAGCGGCAGCCTGACGAGCTGTGCCTTCGGTTCTGGGGAATCGGTTTCTCCAGAAATGCAAGGCCCATTTACATAAGATGCACTTGGTATTTTTAATGGGATGAAAACAGCAATTTTGCAAATGTTTATGGACTGTTAATTTGGCCGAACGCAGAAGCGAATCCAGGTAACAGACTGTCCTTCCTGGGTTCCTCCTGAAGTCAGGCCTGGGGGCCTCACACCAGGCTGACCCCCGTGGTGGGGGGCGAGGGAAGTGCTGACTCCCCCCTGACTAGGGGGGGGCGGGCGGAAGGTTAGTCTGCTCAGGGGTCCACACCCTCGAATTCCCAGATTTGGGTCCCTGGCACTTGCTCAGGGGTCAAACGCTAGTGGATGCAGTGAGTGGTTGGAGGGGCCCGGAGTGTGATTACCTCTAACGTCCTGGCCAGAGGGTGTTACCTCCTTCTCAGTCAGGCATCCTGGGCACTTGGAGTGGGGTGGGGGGGGCCCAGGACCTGCCCCCCTGAACCTCAGTTTCCCCATCTGTGAAATAGAGCTGTGTGTCTGCCTGTCCCTGCTCACAGGGCTGCTGGAGCTGGCAGGACAAGGCCACTCGTGTTTACATATAGGTTTGGCAGTCGAGGGCCCTGGAGAGGGGAGCCACCCCTGTGGGGTGGCCCTGTGGGGATGAGGGGATGCCGCCAGAGGGGGCATCCACCCTCCCCTTGGTTGTCATTACCCTGTCCTCCCCTCACCCCTGCAGCACCCAGCTTGGGCGGAGGCCCCTCGCTCGGCCGGCTGCTCTGAACAGGGACACCCCACGGTCCATGGGCGGGAGGCCACACAGGCCGGGAACCTGCTCTGCACAGTGGCAGTTCGCACGCGTCTCCCACACGCAGCCCCCCGACTTTGCTAATGGAAACCTGGTGATCCATGACGCGTGTGGCAGACATCTGCTTGGGGTAATGTGCTGGTGATGTACGTATCGGTGATCAATCAGCGGATTTGCAAGAGAGGCATAAAGTGTTTAATTATAATTGCGTTGGGCAGGTGTGGCTGGTGGAGGCGACATTTGAATAGGTCAGGCCAGCCCTCGCCCCGCTGTGTTGTTGGGGATTAAATGCCATTCACTCTGAGGGCTGGGAGGCTTTCTGAAGTCGCAAGGTGTCACACGCTGGCAAATTGAAAATGTCCCTTTGCTTCTAAAAACATGATTGATATCCTTTGCAAAACAAATGCTACACCTCACAGTACACAGGTCTCGCGGCCCGGTGCCGCCCCGTGGCTGTGGCCACCGTGGGCCTTTGCCCAGGAACGTGTGCAGGGAGGCCTCCTTCCCCTCCAAGGCTGGTGCCTCCAGATTGTCTGCTCAGGGCAAAGGGTCTTTCCATCTCCGTGAGGCTTGATCACCAGAACGAAACTCAGGAAGAGAACTCGAAAGATAAAATGAAACATTATTTGCTCAGTTGGTAGCAGAAAAATATATCTTCAGATACTCTATATGCCGTATACTGGTGTATAGAACCACCTGTATCCTGTCACGATCTGAATTACACCTGGTATAATTTAAAATGATGCTTTCGGCACAACTGACAAGGAGGTATAAGTAAGAGGAATGAGACAGACATAACACATGCCCACGAGGCACACGCATGCACACATGCATGTGACCACGGCATGGAGGAAGCCGTATGTTAGCAGCCTGACCCCGGAGTCACACGCCTGCGTCCTAGACCTGGGCCTGCTGTGCTGCAGGTCCCCGACTTGTAAATGGGATGAGGGGAACAGGGCTGGGGTGCTGGCCAGTGGACAGTTGGCACTGGGGGCTCAGCACTGTGCCTGGCCAGCCCTGAGAGCCCACAGACACTGGCTGCTTCCCCAGCAAAGAGTTCTGGCCGTGGGTGTTCGCGAAGGCGCAGTGATCTCCACGTTACAGACCCTGGTCCTCTCCCATTGACAGAGGCTGCCTTTGGCAGCCTGGCCAGGCCGAGAGGACACTGGCAGAGCGAGTGGGCACATCACCGCCAGGGCCCATCTCTGGAGTCAGGGCTCGGCACCTCACATGAGTAATCCCCCTCTTCTCAAAACCACCCAGAAGGAACACGTGGGGTTTCTATTTACAGGGCGGGTGAAGGAAGGAATTCTGTTATTTAATGAAATGCCCAGCCTTCTGAATCAGGCGCGAAGCTGAGTGTAAGCGTGTATTTTGCATGATTCGGCCTGTCTAGCGGCTGCCTACCTTCATCTACCCCCAGCCCCAGTTTCTCCGAGTCCGATAAAGCAAGACTGTAGTTCCCAGTCGAGACAGCAAACCCTTAAGTCGTCAAACGGGCACCCGATGGGTTTCATCTGAAGGGATAAAGCCACAATATGGAAATGAGTGCCTTTCATCAGATCGCCTTCTTTCCCTCCAACCTAGGCTGGTTTCAGCGTTGAGCCTGAGTCTGTGGAAGTTTGTGGGATGCGGCAGAACCTCACTTCTCCACTTGAGGTGGGCCAAAACCATCCAGAAGACCCCAGGCTGATTGGCTGCCAGCCCCGGAGGCGGAGCAGCCTCAGCCCCTCTCACATCGTCCAAAGGTGAAGGTTCATTTGCCGGGCCTCCAGCCGCGGGTACCTGCCCTCCTGCGCGTAGGGCGACCTGAGCCCGGGAAAGGGGTCGGGGGTGGAGAGGATGTGGTCGATGCTGAACTTGATGCCCCTGTGTGCCTCCCTCCCCAGGGCGGCGGGGCTGGCTGGGGTTGGGGCCTCGCGGCGGGGGACGGGGCTCCCCCTCGCAGTGGCCGGCTCAGGGGGACCCCGGGGCGCTTCCGCTTCTGCCGCGCGCGTCCCCCTCGCCTCCTCGAGTTTGGGGCCGCGCCGCCGCCGCCTCCGCCTGTAGTTGCCGTTCTCGAAAAGGTCCAGTAGCGACTCGCAGCCGCCGGCGAAGGTCCAGTAGTTGCCTTTGCCCTTCTCGTGGCCATGGGTCCGCGGCACCTGTGCGAGCGAGGGGCTCAGCGCCCGGCTGGCTCCCAGGTGCGACCCGCCCGCCGTGAGCGCTCACTCAGGGCCGCTTAGGGTGAGCCCTGGGCAGCCCTGGAACGACGCGCCCGGACCTGGGGCTTGGGGGTGTCGCCCGGTGAGCCGGTACACCCCCGCTCCCCCCGCCGGTCAGGGATGACTTGGTCCAGGTGTCGCCAGACCTAGGACCCTCAGGGGCCGCTCGGGAGCGGGGGAGGGGAAGGGGCTCACCTTGACAAAGCAGCTGTTGAGGGACAGGTTGTGGCGGATGGAGTTCTGCCAGGCGCGCTGGTTGGCGCGGTAATAGGGGAACTTGCGCGTGATGAAGTCGTAGATGCCCGACAGGGTCACCTTGCCCGTCGGGCTCTGCTGAATGGCCATGGCGATCAGCGCGATGTAGCTGCAAACAGGGGCGCTCAGGCCAGGCGGGCGCCGGAGGCGGGACCCCGGAGCGAGTCTGGAGTCTCCCCCGCCTGCCCTTCCCGGCCGGACCCGCTCTGCTCTGCCTTCCCCCAGGGCGCTGAGAACTCCCAGCGCCGCTCTGCGCAGACCCCAGAAGCTCTGCCTCACACCTGGGGGGTCCCCGGGGAGGGTGGAGAACCTTCTCGGCTGCCTCCAGACGTGCGGACGAGAAGAGACCCCTCCCTCATCCCAGGCGGGTCTTGGCCCCCTCGCGGAGGAAGGCCGCTGTCCCCTGCGGCCCCGCCCCGGCTCCGCGGTCACCTGTACGCCGGCCGCGTGAGCCGCTTCTCCTCGTCCGAGCTGCCCGCGGGGTAGTCGTCGGCGTCGTAATTGAAGCAATTGTAGGGATACTGCGAGCTGTCAAACATCGTGGAGCGCCGGACGCCTGCGGGGCCGCCGCTGCTGCCGCCTCCTCCGCGCCGCCCGCCGGCGCTCCAGGTCTGCGCGGAGGTTCTCGCTGGCGCGGCGCAGCAGCGTCTGAACTGCCGGCTGCAGTTCCCAGCTGAGCTGGGAAGCCGGGTTTCTGGGGTCCCCCGCCCGCCCCCACCCCGTCCTCTCGCATCCAATCCCGGAGCGGGGGAGGCCCCAGTCACCGGTAGAGCGTCCGAGGGGAGCAGAGCGGGCTCGCGGTGGGCCTCTGACCAGCGGCGGGAGGAGGGAGCCGCGCGCTGGGTGGACCGACGGGCGGGGCGCCCACCGTCACCACTCTGGCCTGATGGACCTCGCGCTTCCCGCGCCGGCCCCAGACTTCAGGGCAGAGCTCGCTGGGTCCCCCAAGCCTGGGCGCACCCCGAGACATGTAGGTTCTTCCCTGGCTCCTGGATCCCCATAGTGGGCTCCTGCGCTACCAGGAGCCAGGCCACAGAGAGGGCGGGGGCTATCGCCCCTCCCCACCAGGCTCTGCACCTCCGGCCTGCAGCCCCAGAGCAGCAGTGGTCCAGGGTGTGTCCTGCCTGGACACTGGATCAGAGCCAGGCCAGAGACACAGGGTCCAACACATCCTCCAGCGCCCTGTGTCCCCGACGCACTGTCTCTCACTGTCCCCTCCTCCAGGGGCCCGGGGCGGGGCTCTGAGCCCAGTGGCCACCTGCCCTGCAACCGGCTCCTGCGGCCTGGGGTGAAGAGCTTGCACTTCTCATCAGCCAAAAGCCACCACTTCACTGGCCCCTTCTGTTGGGACTGGGCCACTGCTGGGGGCACGTGGGAGAGAAGACAGGGGTAGGACGCTTTAGGAAGAAGTGAGGTGGGATCTTAAGGCGGCCCCTTTGTTTCAAGTTGGACGCGCCACCCAAAGGCATTTCCGTGAATAATCTGCAGAATTCCGGCCACGAGCCCTGTCTGTGAGTCTGCCCGAGGCCAGGACACCTGGATCGTCTTCCAGAAGATTTCGCCTTCAAAGCTGCACCTGTAGCTCTGAAATGACCTGTGCTCAGTCCAGCCCGTTGGCCCAGGAGGGCCTGCTGCTGCCCACCTTGCTGAAGGGGAGTGGTCGCCTGCTGCGGTGGGGTGTGTCCAGGACCTGGGGCCACCGGGGCGGCTCCGCCAGCACCCTTCCCGCTCTGGCTGCTGTCCGGGTGGGATCTGAGGTGCACTCGGGCTCAGATGCATTCATTGGCTCCGGCTTCCTCTCTGCCACGTGTCAAAATTTAAAATGCTGGAGCGTGGGAACGTAAACCGGTACAGCCCTTGGGAAAACATTTTGGTTGTTTCTTTAAAAACTAAACTTGCAACTACCATGGGACCCGGCAGTTGCACTCTTGGGCATTTATCCCAAGTGAAGACTCAACTTCACACAAGCACTTGTGACACGTGTTCATAGTGGCTTTATTCCTCTTTTCCCCAAACTGGAATCAGCCCAGATGTCCTTCAACAGGGAAGCATTGGACAAGCTGCGGTCCAGCCACATCATGGACACCACCAGCAGCACAGAGGGACCAGCGGCTGATACAGCTGAGACCTGGGTGAAGCTCTGACAGAGGCAGGTCTGCACAGTGAAAATAGCAGGACTCCTACCCTCACAGCAGTAAAACCAGAGCTCTGCACAATCATGACTCTTCTTGAATCTGTCAGAGAACTAAGGTTTCAGGGCAACCTGCAAGCCCAGGGGAACAGGCCCGTCAGAGGAGAGCGGGTCTGAACGCCCACTTACCTGCAGCAGGTTGGGGGACAGGATGGTGAGTTGCTGAAGCCATGCGAGTGCTGGCGGGAGAGCCCAGAGACCCGGACAGGACAGCTGGAAGCACGTTCTGTTCTCTCGTGGACCGGCTCTCTCGTGGACCTCACTGGATGCACGGGAGGAAGAGAGAGAGCAGGGGACCGTCTGGAAAGGTCTCCTGCGTGCCAGGCCTGCGGGTGGGGAATCGCACAGCTCCCTCCCGGAACCAAACAGAGTCTGCCCAGGGAAGGTGGCAGCCGGCTGTCGCCCCGTCCCAGAGGTGCTGCAGGTCCTGAGACAGGGAGGGGCCTCTGGAGCATTAGAGAGAGCGGACGGTGGAGGGAACAGCTGTTTGCTCACTGGTTTAATTGAAGAGAAAGTGAAGTCTGGTTGGTTAGGAAACCTTCCGAACGTGTTTTGGTTTCTCAGGCTTCTGGAGCGTGCTTGACTTACTTCTGAAAATAACATTAATTTGGGGCCCGGCAGTGAGAAGGAAGGTTTCTCTGGTCTTTAAGCCAAAAATTCCCTCCCAATACCACGAATACTGGCGGCACCAGCTGCAGTCATAGGCCAGCAGTGTTCTAAGGTTCTTTTTGCTTTTTATGCTCACTCACTTCTCAGGACCATCCTGTGAGTCAGGCCTTTTGTTTACTCCCATTTACCCGGACGGAGAGGGCAAACAGCTCACCCGAAATCACAGCACTCGTGTGGGGTAGAGCAGGATTTGAACCCAGGCCCTTCAGGAAAGGATGTGACCGCAGTTCCAGGTCTTGGGAGGTGGCCTGCGGGAGCTTGCATGCCTGTCCACCGGGAGGCCTATACGCAGATGTGGGAGACCAGCCAGAGGGGGCTGCAGCCTCTTTGGGGACAGTCCTGGACCCCAGCAGCCCTCACCCAGCATGTCTGACGCAGAAACGTCACAAACGGTACAAGAGGAGGGTATGGGGGAAGACGGGACTCACGTGATCCCTATAGTGTCTTATAAGTTACTCATACGCTTTTTTTTTTTTTTACATCTTTATTGAGGTATAATTGCTTTACAATGGTGTGTTAGTTTCTGCTTTATAACAAAGTGAATCAGTTATACATACACATATGTTCCCATATCTCTTCCCTCTTGCGTCTCCCTCCCTCCCAACTCATACGCTTTTGTGTTTTGTAGTTAAAAGCTGTGTTTGTTACAGAAAGTTTATAAAGTAGAGAAAGGTGAAAAAATAAAAATCCTCACACATGGCAGCTCTCCCCCTTCACAATAGGTCCAGGGAGAGGGACAGGAGCCCAGGGTGTCCTGTAGCCCAGGTTTGGCCGTGACCGGCTACCACTCACGTATCCTATTGGCCTCAAAGACAATTTGGGCACCAGGTGGCGGGGGCTCACCCGGCATGAATAGCAGGATGTGTGGACCCCTGGGGGCCTGCTTGGGGGCTGCTACCACACACGCGGAATTGGGAACCCTCGACCCCAACGGCGGGGACTGCATGGGGTCTGCAGAGGTTCAGAAAGGCTGGAACGATGGACTGGGCCAGCCTGGATGCAGGGCCGGGAGGGCTGTGCCTCTGTGGAAGCTGACCGTTTCCGTGTCAGGGGAGCAGGCCAGGGCGGAGGGGGCCGAACCAGGCAGAGCTGCCGGCCTGTACGTGCTGGAGCTGTGCTCCTTTTTGTCCTCACGTGGCTCCCAGTTTAGTGAGAAGTGGACACTGGCCAGATGACCTCAGAAACACATGATCTGACATGGGGGGGGGCGTCCATGGGAGAATGCACTTAGGTCACCCAGGCTAAAGGCTAGGAAACCTTCCAGGATGAGATGTTTCAGCAGCACTTGGAATAAGAATGAATGAAATAAGGGTGGAGCGTGGGCAGACAGCTCCAGGGTGGAAGGCTGCGCCAAGACCCAGGGGCACCATGGAGGTGGTGCTTTAGAAGCTTCCGGAAGGCCAGAGCACTGCAGCCCTCCAGATGCATCCCATATTCTTCTTTGCTGTTGGAAGTTCGCATCAGTACAGAGCTTGTATTCAGCACTCGCTGAAGGACCCACCGACTCTGTAGGTATTTTTGGGCCCAGGCACTGTACTAGGTCCTGGAAAACAGGGGACCAAGGTCGACAGCCCCCTCACCCGGGCTCTGAGCCTGGCCTGGGGGGCCGGTGGGGCCACCCTGAGCCCCTGGACACTGAAAGGACAGGCTGGCCTTGTTGGGGCCTGGGTAGCCACTGGCAGGGCTTGCTGATGGTCTGGCTGGCTGAGGGACCCATCTGCCAGGCAGCTGAGGGTCTTTGTACCCCCTCTGCTTCTGAGGTGTTGGATTCTGATCCTGAGGACCTAGGGGACTTCTGAGGCCAGACTCTGGTCATCTCTGCCCTGGGGAGGCTGGTCTTGCTTTTCTCAGGTTCTCCTCTAGATGGTGCAAGGGGACCAGACATGGGCTGTGTCCCCAGCGCAGGCCTCCCAGGGGCCCCCAGGACGGCAGTGACCACAGGAATACATCCAGCTGAGTGTAGCTGGGGTGCTGCGACCTGCAGCAGGGACGGGACAGAGCACAGGCCTTGGGCAGGGCTGGCTGCCTGGAGCCGCCACAGCAGCCTAGCGGGGCTGCCCTGGGCCTGGTGTGCACCCCACAGACCCCGCACTGCAGCTGGCCCCGAGGCCCCCTCATCCGGTGACCTCTCCCCACTTATCCCATCAAAGCCGAGAGGCCGGGAGCTGCCCCTCCCCTTGGGGACGGGATGGACACTGTTCCCAGGCCCTGGCCAGCCCACATCCCGGTTCCCGAAAGCCAGCTCCGAGAAGACTAAGAAAGACCCCTCTGTGCGGTGGGGACCCCTCCCACAGGGGCTTTGGAACTCTGCTCTCCTGATGAAGGTGAGGTTCATTCAAGCCCCCTCCGGTCCCCCAGGCCAAGGCTCCTGAGGCGTCTCTGCTCACCGGCTTTTGTCATGGTCCCCTTGGGTGGGGGGGACATTGACTTGAGGGAGAGTTTCCTGTGAGGGCTGAGCAGGACCTCGGAGGGTAGCCTGGGGGCCGCTGCGTCCGGCTTCCTGGGGAGCCTGCACCTCTGGACATGGCCTCTGGGGGACTGGCCCCGGGAATGTGCACTTTTGATTTGCTCCAGGCGGGGAGGCAGCGGGGTGGGCCAGGGCCCTCTGCCAGCCCCCTCCTCGGGCCTCCCTGCCCTTCATCCGCCTCAGGCTTGTGGGTGGGGCCCGGGAGTGAGGGTGAGCCCACCACCTGAATCCCCAGAGCCCCAGTGACACACTCCGTCCCTCGGGCCCACAGGGCAGGGGTCGTGCACGCGCCCCCATCTATATAGTGATTTATTTGTTCATTTACTTGTTTGAATTCAGGAAGTGGTCTCTGCCCTCAGAGAGGTTGCCTCCTGCCTCTTGATTCTCCACAACCAGGCCCCAGGCCGACTGAAGGAGGGTTTTTGTTTTGATTTCCCCCCAGTTTGTCTTTTTAATCATGTTTGAATTCTTAACCCTTTCTCCTCAGCCCTGTGGCAGGTGCTGTCCTACTGTGGACCAAGCAGGCTGCCTGACTCTTGTGGGGAAGCAGGCTTTCACCTGGAGGAATTTAACCGAAAACCCTTTCTTTCGTCCTGTTCCCGGCTTCCTCCACCACCCGCGCCCCCTCAGCCCCTCCCTCTTCAGATCTGGGTCCTGAACACCACACGCTCCCGCATTCATTCAGGAAAGTCCCTTTACCTGTCTGGGCCTCGGTTTAGATGGTGAAAATGGGCACAATGGAATTCGGATTTTACCTGCACAGCTGTCGTGAGTAGCACACGGGACAAGGCAGGAGGGCCCTGGGCTGGTGGCGTGCGGTCTCGCGGGGCTCACAGCTCAGGCCCTGCCCCCATCTCTCCTCCCATCCAGCCCCTTTACCTGCTGTTTGAATTTGCATCAAAGTAATAGATAAACACAGTTTTAAAAGTCAAATAACACTACAGATCAGATCATGGACAAGAGCAGACCCCTGCCCACCTCACCCCTGTTCCGGAAGCAAAGACCCAGAGAAATCACTTTCTGTAAGTCTCCCTGGCTGTGCTGTCTTTTGCCTCGTTTGCGCATCACCTCCATGTTTCTAAATGACAGGCTTTTTAAGTTTTACAAAATACCTACCAACTTCCTACCTGAGAGAGGCCCAGCCCCTCCCAATTCAGTTGCATCACATTTTCCCTTTGGGGAAACAGTGCTGATTGCTGACAGGGCCATGTCTGTGAACCTCATCATGGCCGAGCCAGACTGTCCTGGACTGCGCTTCCTTCCTTGTGTGACTGTCTCCCGGAGGTAACCTGTCTCACAGCTGCCGCTCTAGGCCTGTCCTCACCCTGACGAGGCCAC